CACTGCTTCCGCAGGTCCCCCAAGGTCTGGAATCGGCCCTTCTCCACAATCCTCCTCAGGGTCCGGTCACCTCTTCTCGTTGTGCAGCGTTTTCTGCCACACTTTTCCCTTCCCACAGACTTCCCACTGAGGTGCCTTGATACAGCACTCTGGGAACAGCCTATTCGTTCAGCAATTTCTTTCTGTGTCTTACCCTCTTGCTTGAGGGTATCAATGATGGCCTTCTGGACAGCAGTCAGGTCGGCAGTCTTACCCATGATTGTGGTTTTGAGTAATGAACAAGGCTGGGAGTTTTTAAAAGCCTCAGGAATCTTTTGCAGGTATTTAGAGTTACGTCGTTGATTCAGATGGTTAGGTTAATAGCTTGTTTAGAGAACCTTTTCATAATATGCTAATTTTTTGGGACAGGCATTTTGGGTTTTCATGAGCTGTATGCCATAATCATCAGTATTAAAACAATTAAAGACCTGAAATATTTCAGTTGGTGTGCAATGAATCTGAAATATATGAAAGTTTGATTTTTATCATTACATTATGGAAAATAATGACCTTTATCACAATATGCTAATTTTTTTAGAAGGACCTGTACATTCTACATGTTTCATTGAATTTGTCAAGTGGTCCATGAGATGTTTTTTTTTTCTGACAGACACAGGGAACTACGTACATTATTGCCTGCCACCGTGAAAGGTGGACAATAACAAGATTTTGAGTGGCGCTAATGATTATTTATGGGCCTCTAATGTTAACTTTAGTTAAACAGAACTGTCAGACAGACTGCTGTCACGCTGCAATCGTGTAAAAGCCATCAGATTTATTTCTACTGCCCTCCAACGAGAGAGGATTAGCGGACATTGACAGGCCAGGATTTCATTCCTCAAAAGAGAGCAATTAATCCTAAACCACAGCAGCCAAATTCAACCTCATAAAAACCTAGTGTAGTACTTACAGTACATACCCATACAAAATTAGAAGTGCTAATCACTGCCTTTATCCTTAAAGGTACCCACTGCCTGCCTGATTTGAACTCTGCATAAGAAGTTTGTTAGTCATGTTTCAAATCCAACTTCTACGATGCTTGCTGACACACTGACTTAATTACACGAGTCTTAGGAGACCACGTCTGTTATAATCTGCTTCTTACAAACAATAACATGCTCAAATTAAAACAACATCCTGCAGCAGATCCATTACGCTCACATACTCTCACACAAAATTAAACAGACGCACATAATGAGATACTGGAAGACACAAAACAGACAAGTCAACAGATAGAGCCCCGCTGGCCCGTAACACTATAGTGGGGCTTTCCGTCTAATTAAAAGTGTGGAAAGTCAGATGGAGGGTCTCTCCGAGCATGACACCCTAATAGACTGGGCACAAAGCTGCTGCAGCAGGGTCGTACTGCATCATTAGTGCTGCTCTGTGGCAAGACATTAAAACACAAGACCACGACAGATTCAAGCCACACGCAGCCTCTTCTTAAATTACCTATATGTTCTTACACTAGGCCGCCCGCTTGCATGCAATTTTGTAGAAGTGTTTGCATCTTTGTGTTGTTTTTCCTTTGATGCCAGAGGGTTAAAGTTGCCAAAAGCATTGAAAAAAATGGCAGTTCGTCTGTGTAATTGACTTCTCCACAAGAGAGCATTCTTAATGGCAAAGGCTGATGTTACAAGCCGGTGCAGAGCAGGATAAGTGGCTGACAGAAGGTAACATGAGGCTGAGAAGGAGAAGGATAACATGAGGAGAGAGAAGGAGGCTAGATATGAGACACTCACCCCATAATGAGGCTGTTAATGTAGTCGTTCCCATCTATGTGGCCAAACTGGAAGTCCCTGGAGATGAGAGAAAAATCAGTGACATGAGAAAATGAAACAAGTCCAAAAATAGGACATGAACTCGCTCTTCTGCTTCTGTGGACTGTATAGCATTAGCACAAACTGAGACATTATTTTTATCAATATCACACAAATAAGAAACTTTGTTGAAAGAAATACAAGGCTGGTTTTTTTTTTTTTTTTGGTTGCTTTTGTCACTGCAGGAGAGAGAAAAATTATTCCCACGGCTCCATACTGTGCCGTCTGCTGCTTCTCCTCATCTTTTTTTCGCCACAGAAAAGACTCAGGTTATTTATCTAAATGATAAGGAAGGAAGAGGAATTCAATTTGTATCTCATTGTGCTGCACTACGTCTGAGCAGAGTGTATTGTGGGTTGACAAGGAAAAGGAGAGCCGCACAAGACCAGGAAAGCCAGTGGCTTCCACCAAATGACTGATTACGGGGGCTTCTGCATATATGGTAGGTATTATAGATCCTGAATCATAGCTACAACTAGGACATTTGTCCTCCAGGCACTAAACAGATGTGCTTATATGAATGAAATGATTGTGACAAGACGGAAAAAGAATAACTTCCATGGCTGCAATAACCAAAAAGAGTAAAAGATTGAGACATTATTGGCGACAATAGCAGGTCAGTTTAGGAATTGAGCCCTTTACAAAATAAGCAATTTCTGAAAACTGCAGCACAGTCAGACATCAATTAAAAATAGAAATTATTCACAGCTATACAACTGACATGGGTGTAAGAGGCAGAAGCACGCAAAATATGAATTTGAACTAAATGGAGATTTGTTTTTTTTTTATGTTTATACAGCTTTGTCACTCAATAGCTTCAGTATTTGTAGATCTTTTCATCCGACACTTCTTGGTAAACAATACAAAGGATTTCTGAAAATAAATACGCAAATAAATAAATATCCTAAGAAACAGTCGCAAAATTTACCAAAAAACATCAACGATAGACAAATTACCATTTTTCTCTGTCACTAGATGGCGGTCGGTTTTGTTAAATACTTGAAAAATTAAAGGTTATCCTTTAAATAAATACACATCTTCTGCTGCCTTTCATCCCAAAGGTTCAAACTAAAATCATCTTTTAACAAGAAGGTATTTTAGACTTAAATATTGTGTATTTGATATATGTACATGAATAGGTCTGAACTACTGATGCACCAAACTTTAGCTCAATACATGTAAAACTGACTGAGGTATAGCCATTATACGTTGGCTAATGTAGATTAGCTGTAGTGGCTATCTTAAATTGGGTTGATTCCAAAATAAGTTGTAGAAGTATACATTCATTTTTTACTTTCTGAGAGTTTCTATTTCAATTTCTTTCTTTTTTTTTGTTAGCAATGACTGAACAAACACAAAGACACGGTAAAAATAACGTCCACTACCGAAAGTAAAAGAATGGTAATTTAACCACGAAAATATGTTTTCATCATCAGGGAAATCTACCAGTAGCCATGACAAATCTACTATAAGTAGCAGTATTGGTAAGTAATAAGCCTTTTTTGTTGTCCTTGTACTTAAACCTGGACCTTGGACCTCAGCTGACAGTTGAATGATTGCCAGTCCAATTAAAAAAGTAGAAAACCCCTTTTTAACTGTGAGAAAGACATTGTGAGAGGACACAAAAGGATCTACGTGAGCGCTGTTGCTCACTGAGATGGATGGTAGGGGCGTTATTGTTTCACCCAAGTCACAGATCCAAAATGACAAATGTGTGAGAGGCTGCATGGTGGAACATGCCACGCTGAAATCTGAGGCTGTCATGTCGCACATCACGCTTCTGATTCCACCACACCGGGAAGCCATTTCAAACGACACACCCAGACGGAGCTTCACTGCTTGTATCACACGGTATAAACAGAAAACGGGCAGGTTTTGGCAGCACGACGCAGGGTGGAGGGGTCTTAAAAGTGTAATATTGGTGTGAATTTTTACATGTTTTTTCACAGTATTATTTGGGACTACAACAGTATTTCAGCACAGGACAATTAGGACATCATGAAAAAACTTTTTTTTTAAAGTGTGAACTTTTAATGCAAAAACTAATTTCTTGGGAATTATATGTGCATTTGCTAAAAAAAAAGAAAAAAGTAAAGAACTGCTTAATATGGATTGAAATTTTATCTCAAATTTAAAGTTCTATATAAAATAGTCAGCATTTTAGCATCAAATTAACAACTCGGGACCTGAAATCATATTAACCTTTAAAATGTACAAGGTATAAAACCTTGCTTAACCAGTTTGGTTTTATGTTTTAGTAAATGATGAGAATAATTTGTACCACTTGGTTTTTGCTTTAATAAAAGGGGACAGCCAGTGTTTTTCTGATTCACAGCATCTTTAGGACATTTCTGACTTGATCAGGCAGATATAAACATCATCATTAGAAAATACTTGTTTACACGTCAAGCAAACACAAAGCCTGATTAAAGTCTTTTCTGATCCCATATAATCCAGCTGTTGTAGAAAAATGTTTCCTTTGCTGCATTCTGCTGCCACTGACTGATCCAGTAGAATGGGTTTATATAAAGTACTTTCCCTGAAAACAGATGGATGATGGCCATCACAGTGAACTTTGAATCAGAGCCGTTAATAAACTTTAAAACAAAACAATGTATTACTGTCTAAAATAAGTTGCCAGGTCCTCTGGGTGGATACTTCTTGTTGAAACCCAACAATGTTCAGTCAGGTCATCTGGACGGTTTCTTATTTGTGCCGACACGTTTCGCCCTCCATCCACAGGGCTTCATCAGTCTGAGGAAACACAAAACAAAACTGATTCTCCACCATGAGCCTACTCCAAAGTGGATAAACCAGTTATGTTGGTGCTAAGATGGTCTCTGGGGTACGCCCTCTCCTCCAGTGCCCACCCTCTCACTCTCTTGGTGTTTCCTCAGACTGATGAAGCCCTTTGGATGAAGGAAGAAACATTGCAGCACAAAAAAGAAACTGTCCATATGACCTGTCCAGATTTTATATTTATACCTGGATTATTGAGCATGGACTTTGGCGTTTCTTGTTGAAACATTTCGTCTTTTATCCAAACGTACTACTATGATCCTAAAATAATCCATGTATAGCTCTTGACAAAATTAAGCAATGTATTAAAGTTCATGCTCAATAATCCAAGTAAAAAAATCCAACAAATTTAAGTCAGGTCTTCTGGACAGTTTCTTTTTTTTTTTTTTTTTTTGCCGTCATCCAAAGGACTTCATCAGTCTGAGGAGCCACAACAAACTCTGTTCCATAAGTCCCGTTTCAACAACAACAACAAAAAAAGAAATCATCCGGAAGACCTGAATGAACATTGTTGGATTTTTTTTACCTGGATTATTGCGCATGAACTTTGATGTTTTTAACCACTTTGGCTATGGCTGCCTCAGAGGAGTCGACGGGGGAGAGGGTACACTCCAGAAACCATCTTATCACCAGCAAACTGGTTGGTCCACTATGTGAGTGTGCTGCTTGTGGGACTGAGTTTGTTGTGGCTCCTCGGACTGATGAAGTCCTTTGGATGAAGGACGAAACGTTTCAACAAAAACAAACCATCCAGAGGAGCTGACTGAACTTTGTTGGATTAAGCAATTTATATTGCAATTAGTCATAATGTAAAAAATGCACTTTATCAACTGGGGTATGTTGCTCAGAATGCCATTTCTTCTAAACAGGAAATCTGAAGAGTTTAGGCATTTTCATGAGCAGTAAAGTCAAAACTTTACGATTACTGTTTGTGACTTTGTGATAAGAGTTTTCTCTAGTTAATAAGCAGCAACTGGTACATCAAAGTAAAGACAATAATAACTGGTGCAGAATTTCAGCACACACACACACAAACCAAATGAAAACCCCACAAGTACAATTTGCACAAATACAACCATGTGTGCCTTCTCACTCCACGCACACGCACACACACACACACACACACACAAGTGGTGGGTGAGCTGAATGCTACAACACTGATTACTACATCAAACAGCATCAGCTCCTTGAAATGTCAGTCATCTGTGATCTCTCACTCCCTGTACTGCCTCCATCTACCATCGGGGGCGACACTATAGTCGGCGACTTGTAATTATGAGCACCGCTTAGGTGTGTAAGAACACTGCAGGCAGCTCTGATCTCAGTGGGAACCTTCAAACTTGCGAAGCTTCAAAAAAACAGCACATGGCAACGCGGCGGATAGTTGTGTAATTGATGATAGAGATCTGTGTAATTCAATCAGTCCTAATGGGAATGCCTGGAGAGGCAGAAATCCTTTGATCATGGCACTTTGAGAAGCACGTCTCTATTCCAAAGCAGCAGCCACTTCAGGGGAGCACACGCTCGCTTTAACCCGAGTCCTCTAGTTAAAGGATGACCCACCAATTGTTCTTACTGAATTAGCACTTCACTCAACAGTCCTTTGTTAAACACCTGAGCGCACGCATCATCTTCAACTTTCTTTCCACTACAAGAGCAAAAATAACGTGCCATGAAATGATCCACTCTGTATTTTTAGCGGTTCTCATTTGCCTTGTTACAGAGCTCCTCTCCAACACAGGAAACGAGTCAAACAACACAGAGCATACTATAAACACCCATTCCAAGATGTTATTGCACAAAAGGAGCTGGAGAAAAAAAAAGAAAATTACGCATTAATAAAAGCCGGGTTAGACTTGTGATTGACAGCTGAAAAGAACACCTATATTTGGAAGCTGACATTTCACATAATTACCTTTCTACTGAGCCGCTACAAAAAAAAACAGACGTGCCCCGACAACGGCAAAAAGTTGCTTGTGAATAGACAGGCAGCGTTCCCCAGTGAGTACACCGTCCCAGAATAAATGTATAAACTGGATTTTCATCTCTGACCTCATCGTATATCCGTGCCTCACCTGTTAAAATGTTCTCTGTATTCCTTCGCCACCCTCTGCATCAAGGTCTTTAATCTAAAAGCAAATGAGAAGAGAGTGAAAAACCACATAAGTCACAGTCTATCTTTATTTAGCTGGTGGCAGCAATTTGTGGGAAGCGCCAAACAATAACGGCAAGTCTTATCTCTTTATTTGAAAGCCACACACCTAAATGCAGCTATCGTGGGGAAGTGTGGGAGCAATTTATAAAGAGCTGTGCTTTTTAATTTCAGTGCTCTTTGTACCTGCTGCTCTCCTCTGTAGGGTCCTTCTCATCTATGATCGCGATCGCCACCAGTTTGCCTGAGGACGCATATGAGAGTTACAAATTACAACCGGACACACAAAAAGATGGTGTGGAGACAACAGCAGGCCAGTTAGATGCTCTATAGAAGACACATTGCCTCACAATGGGGAAAAGAAAGGAAGGGGCATAAAAGGTGATTTATTTATTACCATGCTTTTTGCTGTGTAAGTCGCACCTTTTTGCAAAAATTAGCATGCCCTGCGAATTATACAAAGAAGCAACTTATTTATGTTTTTTCCCCTCATATTTATAACCCAATTTTTGGCTGAGATCTGACGATTTCATTCATTCCGACATGAAAAATGTTGAACACTACCATTTTCAGCCATTAGAGGGCCATCAACTAATATGGCAAGCCAAGTGTCGCATTAATAGGTAAGTGGCTATTAATGAGACATTTTGTTGCCATACAAAACCACCTACGTCTCGCTCCGAAACTCCTGGTGCAAACATCAAATCCGCTGTATTCCGCTGCACCGCACAGGCAAAATGCAGCTGGTTTGACCATTAAAGTGCATTTATTAAGGAAAAGTTCAACGGAGACACACCTTTACTATAATGTCGAGCAAACAAATAATTGTTTTTAGGTGTTAGTCTTGTTAAATTCTTGTTCAAGTCCTCTTGTGCACACTCCCGTGACCGCCATTTGGCAGACAATCAATTTTTGGCACAACACTGGCACACGTTTCCGAGTGACCAGCGGTGACACATAACAAACGCGACGCGTCAGCGGTGATGCATAATAGATGCGACTAATACAACGAAGCTATGTATTTATGTTTTTTCCCCATATTTATAACTCAATTTTTGGCTGAGATCTGATGATTTAATTCATTCTGGCATGGAACATATTGAACACTACCCAACAATTTTCAGTCAGGTCATCTGGACAGTTTCTTTTTTTGCTGAAACGTTTCACCTTCTATCTGGAAGGCTTCATCAGTCAAAGAAACACACAACACAAAACCGATTCTTCCCCCAAAGAGTTTACTCCACAGTGGAACAAACCAATTATGTTGGTGCTAAGATGGTGTCTTTGGCACGCCCCCTCCTCTTGTGCCAGCCCTCTTCCTCGTCGACAGTCATGTCAAACTGGTTCAAAACCAAAAAATTAGTATTTTTTCAGCATGGACTTTTTTTGGTTTTGAACCAGTTTGACATGACTGTCGACGAGGAAGAGGGCTGACACAAGAGGAAGGGGCGTGCCAAAGACACCATCTTAGTACCAACATAACTGGTTTGTTCCACTGTGGAGTAAACCGTTTGGGGGAAGAATCAGTTTTGTGTTGTGCGTTTCCTTGACTGATGAAGCCTTCCAGATAGAAGGTGAAACGTTTCAGCAAAAAAAGAAACTGTCCAGATGACCTGACTGAAAATTGTTGGATTGTATACCTGGATTATTAAACATGGACTTTTTTTGGTATTGAACACAAGCATTTTCAGCCACTAGTGGGCCCTCAACTAATATGGCAAGCCAAGTGTCTCATTAATAGGTAAAAGTGGCTATTAATGAGACATTTTGTTGCCATACCAAGGCATCTTCGTCTCGCTCCAAAACTCCTGGAGCAAACATCAAATCTGCTGTATTTTGCTGTGCCGCCCAGGCGAAATGCAACTGATTTGACCATTAAAGTGCATTTATTAAGGAAAAGTTCAACTGAGACACATCTTTGCTATAATGTTGAGCAAACATATAATTGTTTTTAAGTGTTAATCTTGTTAAATTCTTGTTAAAGTCCTCTTGTGCACACTCCCGTGGCTGCCATTTGGAAGCCAACCGATTTTTGGCACAACAACAGCCCACTTTCCGGGTGGTCAGCGGTGATGCATAATAGATGAGACTTATACGGTGAAGCAACTTATTTATGGTTTTTTTCCCACTTCATTAGACATATTTGGACTGATGCAACTTATACGGTGGTGTGACGTGTATGGCGGCAAGTACGGTAATCACTTAAATATAAAAGATTAGAAGTTGCTTGTTTGTGCAGGAAATAAGTGGTCTTTTTTTTTTTTTTTAAATATCCTATCTGGATGCTATTTAAACCCCAAAACACATGGCATGACAGTTATGTATTTAGAAAAAAACTTTCAACAAAATGTTTCCTATTTAAACTGGCATGATTTGAGGCTGGGAGCCAGCAGACTTTTGGATGAGAGTGCCAGCCTGCCCCCTGCTGCTCGCTGATGCTGAGAGGTTATGTAAAGTGAGTAGACAGCCTGGCATCAGTAACAGGAAAAATAGCAAACATGGAAGAAGTGTGGGTATCACATTCACCTCAACGTGCACTCAAAATAACTTACCACCACCAAGGTCTGAGATTGTTTAGGAAACAAACAAAAAAAAGTTAATTTATTGTGCGTTTTCCCTCCACACTACGGCATCACGGGAGTTCCACCTGCGGGAATATGCATAATTAACTCGGTGCAGGTTTGGAACACTAAAAAAGCTCTGCTGCTGTAGTAGCAGGATTCATCTTTGTGCCGTCAGAACGTGTGCAGACTTTGCTGCAACACTGTAGGCTGTGAGTCAAGAAAAAGCTTTTCTGAAGTTAAAAATGGAAGAAAGTTTTGTATAGTTTTCCTGTTGTAATTAAATTCTTTCTTTGTGATGCAGACACTACAAACAACACTTGAGTAGTAAAAGTCTTTTAATCCTTTTCATGGTTAAATTCTCTCTGTTTGCTAGCAGTGCACATGCTCTTTACTAATTTCAGGTACAAATCCGTTAAATTGTCACAGGCTTTTCATTTATACAAAAGTGACAGCAATTACAGTAACAGTGCAAAAACAAATAAAGCATTGCAGTCTATTAGCCATTATAGTGTTTTAAAAAAAAGAACTCAAATATGATGTAAAATCTGCAGATGTAACAAAGAAAACAAACAAAAATAAAACGGAGGTATAGCGGGGTATACCGTACTTTCCGCCGTACACGTTGCACTGCCGTATAAGTCACACCAGTCCCAAAATGTATAATAAATTGGAAAAAACATAAATAAGTCGCTTTGCCGTATAAGTCACATCTATTATGCGTCACCGCTGACCACCCAGAAACATAGGCCAGTGTTGTGCCAAAAATCGATGGGCTGCCAAATGGCAGCCACGGGAGCATGCACGGGAGGACTTTAACAAGAGTTTAACAAGATTAACGTTTTAAAACAATTATTTGTTTGCTCAACGTTATAGTAAAGGTGTGTCTCAGTTGAACTTTTCCTTAATAAATGCACTTTAATGGTCAAATCAGCTGCATTTCAAAAGCCAATTCATGGAAGCGGGAGCACGCAGAGGGAGGACTCGCTGTGCATTTCGTCTAAATTTTACAAGATTAACGCCTAAAAACAATTATTTGTTTGCTTGACATAGCAAAGGTGTGTCTCGGTTGAAGTTTTCCTTAATAAATTTACTTTAATGATCAAATCAGCTGCATTTCGCCTGGGCGCCGCCGCGAAATGTAGCTGATTTGACATTTGCTCCAAGAGTTCTGGAGCGAGACGAAGGTGGTTTGGTATGGCAAGTCAAGTGTCTCATTAATAGCCACTTTTACCTATTAATGATATACGTGGCTTGTCATATTGGCCGAGGACCCTCTAGCGTCTGAAAATAGTAGTGTTCAATATTTTCCATGTCAGAATGAATGAAATCGTCAGATCTCAGCTAAAATTGGGTTATAAATATGGGAAGAAGAAAAACCATATTAGTCGCTTCGGTGTATAAGTCACAGGACTTGCAAATTTATGTAAAAAGGCGCAACTTATACAAAAAAAAAATGGTAGTTTAAAAAAAACATAATTTTTGTTAGTTCTTAGTTTTGTTTTGTATGTGCTGTAAACCTATCTCAAAAATAGACTAATACTTTTAGGTAATATACGTAAAAATTTGAGTCAAGTACTGAAATGAAAAATTACATCTTAGATACGGTAAATATCTAATCTAATATCTAATATCTTTTAGCGTACTTTTGGGGTTTGTTCAGCATATATCTTATCATATATAGGTGAAGTACTGGCACAGAGGTTAGAAAAGGTGGGCCTGTGATCAGAAAGTCACAGGTTCAACTCCCGGTACCATCAACATCAAAATGTGGGTGGAAAAGGTGAAACACCCACGCCTGCCTCCACCCTCACTTGCCCCACTCTGGGACCCTGAGCAAAACCCCACCATTTGCTCCCAAAAACAGGTCTCTCTTGAAAATGAGTTCTTGTGACTCAATGAGACTACCTTTATAAATAAAGGGTAAATAATTTTTTTTTTAAAAAGTACATCTTAGATCCTTATTTATGGTTTCGTTTTATACTTTACATTTTGCTATTTTGGGGTGTAACTGGGACTTTGATTACATAATTTCATTCCATATCATGTACCACATGTGATGAAACGACAATAAAGTTGACTTGAACTTGATCTTGCACAACACAAGCAGTTCAGTAAAGACTCGTCCAATCCATCTATTTTTATCTCCACTTAACTTTGCAAAATGCTATAATTTACTGAACTAGAAAAGTAGAAAAACAAAAGGTTTCACTGCTGCCTTCTTGGAGGGGCTTTATTTTTTCTAGTAATTTCACTTGAGCAGTTTCAGAGTCCACTCACCCCAACGTCCCACTCCAGCTTATTTTTACCGCTATGAAAACTCAACTGTGTTGATTTTTGAAGTCTTGTAAATAAATAAAAAACTTTGACAGAATATATTTGAATATAGAAAGCATTTGTCTTCTCATACACCAAAAAACTCCAACCAATAAGCCTTAAAAACGTCGTAGCAGCACAACCCTGGTAGCTAAATAAAATGACAGCTTGACATAATCCTCACAGTCTTTGCATAACAATAAAATTAAATAATGCTTTAAGAATTCACACAACTGAGACCCATTTTCTTATTTACATTTTGCAGCATGCAATTTGTACCACAATTGTTGTGTTATTTCAACAATTCATATATTTCAACGTTCAGGACATTCCTGCTATAAATTTGTGTCATTTGTACTTTTAAAAA